CCAGGCTGGCCTCGAACTCACAGAGATCCGCCTGGCTCTGCCTCCCGAGTGCTGGGATTAAAGGCGTGCGCCACCACCGCCCGGCTTGATATTTTATTTTTTAATCAAGCTCTCATTGTACATTCCTGGCTGGCCTTGAACTCACCTCCGGAGTGCAGATATTAAAACCATTCCCAGCCCCGCCCCCTTTTTTAACCTTATGTAAAAACTACAACATTGTGTTTCTGTCTGCTTATGCTAGGAGTTCTTCTCAAGATAACCAGTTCCTTTGGTCGTGGGTTAACAGCAACAAAAATACTGACATTATATGAAGTTATAATCTATTTGCTTGTTTGTTTATTTGTTTGTTTTGGTTTTTGGGACAGGGTCTCTCCATGTAGTCCTGGCTAGCCTGGAACTCACTATGTAGACCAGACCAGGCTGGCCTTGAATTCCCAGAGATCTGCCTGCCTCTGCTTTCTTAGGGCTGGTATTAAAGGCGTGTACCAACATGCCTGGCTTTTTGATGCTGGCTATTGAATCTATAGTCATTGTACATATTAAAAATGATATGTGGCCACTGAGCTACAATCTCTGCCCGGAAGTGAAGGTTTTTTTTTTTTTTTTTTTTTTTTACGTCATTCCCTTCCTCCTTGATATTTATTCTGTATGATAATTCAGCAAGGGGGGAAAAAAACATGTTAAGGGTTTACCTTTTGGACTTTCTTGCAGGTTTTGACAGCTGCCGAACATCATCAGAGTTAAGAAGAGAGACTATCCATGTGATATGTGGCCAACCAGGCATTTGAACCAACAAATCGTTTTTTCCTGTCACAGGTTCAAAGAATAATCCAAAGCCTTTTTTCTAATCAAATGCTTTGTGTATTTTCCCTAAAGATCAGAGACAAGCAGACACTAGATTGTGACAAGCCAACACTTTTCCCACCTGCTCCTTAAAAACGGTAACAACAACCCAAACTCTGGCTTTTAAAAGCCATACTCCTGTGCGCATTCACAGGGCTATTCTTTTTTTTGTGTTTGTTTGTTTGTTTTTGTTTTTGTTTTTCGAAACAGGGTTTCTCTGTGTAGCTTTGGAGCCTGTCCTGGAACTGACTCTGTAGACCAGGCTGGCCTCAAACTCACAGAGATCCACCTGCCTCTGCCTCCCCAGTGCTGGGGTTAAAGGCGTGTGCCACCACCACCCAGCCACAGGGCTATTCTTATCCTTAAGGTAAAGCTGCATTCTCTCGGAGACAACTCTGTTCCCTAAAACATCCTTCACTGTGTAAATGAAGTGATGGTGTCTTCAAGTCATGAAGCTCTACTGTCCCTAATAGTGGGCTTTTGAAAACACTGCTGTTCCCTTCAAATGTGATCTCACTGGGTGCCTCTTAGGCACTGAGCACACCGTCTCTGATGTCACAGAGCCACACTTACAAATAAAAAGGACACGAGGGCTGAGGAGGTGACTCTGGGTAATCAGTGGGTGTTCTGATTCCTAGCATCCATGTAAAAAAGCTAGATGGGCGTGTGGCCTGAGCTGTATGGCCAGTGGCAGAGGTGGGGTGGGGGTGAAGGGATTGGAGATAAAGACTCTACAGAGCAAGCTGGCCAGTAAGATTAGCCAAATCAGCATGCTCTGGGTTCAATTGAGAGACCTCACCTCAGTATATTAGTGATCAAGGAAGATACCCGACATCAGCCTTGGGCCCACACACATGTGCGAGCGTGCACCTGTGCACACGCCTGTGCCTTAACCCAAAGCCACATTGCGGGTGGTGATGCTCTAATGACTGTCCAGTGTTCCTCAGGTTAGTATTCAGTGTTGTAAGGAGTCGGGAGATAGCTTAGCTGGTAAAGTTCTTGCCACATAAGCACAAGGACTTGAGTTCAACCCCTGTAGCACAAATCCTAATTGGTCTTATTAATAAGAACCCGGAGTCAGACATCAGGGTGAAAGCTGAAAGATCAGAGAAGCAGAGCAGCAGCCACTAGTTGTTACTTCTATGAAATCCTCCGCCTGAATGGGATCTGAGCTCCTGTCTCCTCCCACCTTATATTCCTCTCTCTGCCCAGCCATATCACTTCCTGTCTCCACCTCCCAAGGGCTGGGATTAGAGCCATAAGATCCCAAGTACTGGGATTAAAGGTGTGTATCATCACTGCCTGGCTCTGTTTCTCTTTTAGATTGGATCAACCTTGTGTAGCCCAGGGTGGCCTTGAACTCACAGAGATCCATCTGCCTCTGCCTCCCAAGTGCTGGAATTAAAGTTGTGTGCCACCACTGCCTGGCCTCTATGGCTGACTAGTGGCTTAGCTCCTCACTCTGATCTTCAAGGTAAGCTTTATTTGTTAGATCACAAATAAAATATCACCACAAACCCCTAGGACCCATGTTTTTTAAAAAAAAAGCTGGCATGGTTGTACACAGTTGACTCTCAATACCGGGGAGGTAGGGTCAGGAAGGACCCTGGGGCTTGAGCTAGCCTTGCCTACTTGGCAAGTGTCAGGTCCCGGTGGGAAAGCCTGTCTCATAAAACAAGGTGATGGTGTCTGGAAAATGGTATCCATGGTTAGTGTCTATCACACGCATATGCACAAAAATGTGCCATACACTTTTCTATAAAGTGCTCCCTCTTACCTTTCATCAGATCCTTAGAGGAATAATTCAAAAAATTACAATGATGCCACATGAGCTTATCCATCAATCTCTCTGACAAAATCAATGGGACTGTGTTATAGGAAAAAAACAAACAAACAAACAACTTATTAGCTAAAACAGGCACCAGGGACCTGTGAGACGTCCTATCAGGTAAAGGCCCCTGCCATGCAAGCCTGACAGCCTCCCGCTGGAAGGAGAGAAGACTCCTGAAAGTTGTCCTCCAACCTCCACGTGTGAAAGTGGATGGTCTTCAGGACACCTAGCTCTGTCTTTCTAATACTCACTTACCTTCTATAGTGATGGGACTGGATAGGGAGTCCAGATCAATTAGGGTGTTGAATATAAACTACTTTGTGCTCATTTGGCCTGGTGGCTGTCTCTGCCCCCAGGGCAGGGTGTAGGACCTCTGTCATTCTAGGGAGCATTCCTAAGTGTGATCATGGAAGTGTGGCATCTCTTGAATGGAGATGTCAGAATGGATAGAGCCTGGGTCCCCAGTAGGCATAGGGTTTGTTGTTGTTTGTTGTGTCTGTATGGGTATTTCACCTGCGTGCATGTCTCTGCATGCCTGAGACCCAAGGAGGCCAGAAGAGATGTCAGGTCCTCTGGAACTGGAGTTTTCAGGTGGTTGTGAGCTATGATGTGACCTGGACCAGCAGGTCATTTTTCAGTGACAGGTTCCTGAGAAGGACCAGGGGTTGAGAAGACAGGAAAGTTTGGACTCAGGAGGTCTAGCACAAGCTACTTCTTATGGCAAGCAAGGTTATTAGGAGGTGCAGCATCTTATATACTATTAGTAGGGGGAATGGGCCCCGTCAACAGAAAGCTAAATCAATATTGGCAGAGAACACAGCACAGGATGTCTCAGACTCAGCTGCCTTAAGACCACAGCCCAGGGGTGAAGCTGGGTTCCCAGGAACTGAAACTTTTAACTCCTTTGAGGTCCTGGCTCCAAGCCCCAGACCGGACCTTACCAAATTTGCCACTGGACAAGGACTCCGAATAGGTTCCGTTTGTCCTTTCATCAGGACCTCTGAGAAAGCCTTGGATTGGCCTGGCTCCCAACAATCTAGGTGCTGGGTGGGAATCAAACCCAGGTTCTCTGGAAGAGCAGCCAATGTTCTTAACTACTGAGCCATTTCTGGGGCCCTTCATTGTTTTAATATACCACTCTGTCCACCGCACTGTAATCCTCAGTGGGCTTCTCTACTCAGCAGCAGCTTAGGTGCCTTCCGGGAACTTGTTATCCTCCGACCTGCCTCAGGACTCAGATGCTGTCAGTGGGGCTTGAGGAAAGTTCCTGCTTGCTGAAGCACTCATTCTTTTTTTTTTTTTTTTTTTAAGAAAGCATTTAATTGAAGGCTTGCTTACAGTTTTAGAGGATGAGTCTATGATCATCATGGCAGAAGGAAGACAGGCATGGTGCTGGAGCAGTAGCTGAGAGCTTTTGTATCCTAATCTGAATACAGCAGGCAGGAAGAGACTGGACCTGGTGTGGGCTTTTAAAACCTCAACGCTCACCCCCAGTGAACACCTACTCCAACAAGGCCACACCTCCTAGTCCTCAAACAGTTCCACTCTCCAGGGACTAAGCATTCAAATATATGAGCCACTGGGGGCCATTCTCTCCCATCACTCATTCAAACCATCACAGGCCATAAAAGGGGCACTCAGGGAAACATTCTATTTACCAGTTTACCCTAAGAGAGTCAGATGAAGAGATAAGAGGTACAGGGCATGAAGTATGGAAGCACTCATTCTTAAGGCCCTCCATTAACATATGACTGACTGCCTATTGTCAAGGTCAATGCTAGATTCCCCACCTCCTGAACTGACTCCACACCCAAGCTCACATGCTCCCTTCCTCCCATTTAATCCTATGAAATTAGTTGGTGTGCAACTAACTCTAGAGTATAAAAGCTGTATGCTTTTCTTCTTTTTAATAAATGCTTTTGGAAGCCACCCAGATTTCGGATCACCCTCGTGCCCACCCACCTACCCCCACCCCACCACCAACTCCATACATCCACTTTGGGACCTAACCCCCACCAAAGCAGGACTTCAGCAAACAAGGGTTAGATTTTAAGTGCCTCAAAAATTGAAAACAAAGTGAAATTTAAAAATACAGATTAACTATAGACCCAAAGACAAATAGGTTGGAAATGACTAAAATATTAACCAAAAGAGGTGTTAATCCCAATGGCAATAATAAAACCACTACCACATTTTGAAGTAAACTTGATTTAATTGGGGTGCACCCAAGAGCTGGCCAGCAGCTGCCTCCTAAATCAGGTTAAAGAGAGCAGCCCCGAATTCATCTCTTGGGCCCCTTTAAAGAGTAAAATCACCAGTAGTTTTACAGAAAAAAAATTATGTAATCCCTATGTGATTAGGGAGGGGCCAAGGAGGGTGAGAGTATTCTCAAAAACAAACCAAGGTCATGGGTTGGGGAAGGTCAAGTTCCAGGAAAAGAGTGACTCAACTCTCATAGTAAATAGACACTTATTTTTAAAAATACAGCATAGTGGCTCCTGTCTAAAAACGGACTAAGGCAGGTTCTTCAGAGGAAGGTCATAAATAACTAAGAAAGACAGTAAAATTAACAACACTAGTAGTATGTAATAATTATAAATAATTACACACCCAGTACATATGAAGCAAAGTAATGGTAGAGCCCAAGGGAGAATTCTGTGTTAATAATTGGACTATCAATACCTCTTTACCTAAGACTGGGTGAAAATAGAAGACATACATACGGAACAGGGGACATGAGCACAGTGAATATAGAGATCTAAAAAAACATGGGCCAGCCGAAGGTGCAAACATCATTTTAAAATGATATGAGACTTTTTCCAGGATAAAACATGTTAAATGACAACCAGGTACCGGTAGATTTTAAAGAAAATATTACACATCATCTCAGACCACACTGGGATAAGATGGAAGTAATGTGAAGTAAAAGTAAAAGATTTACACACGTGGAAATTAAACAGTACAAGAGATTAAATTAGGAAATGCTTAGACATGAAGAAAAAGAAAACACAACCCAAAAATTAAGGTCTGTTGCAAAAGCTGTGTCAAAGGAGAAATACGTAGCCATAAACACATGAAACAGAAGTCCGAATCTACAATATAACTTTACAACTTTAGGTATTTGGAAAAAAAAAAAAACAAAAAAACAAAACAGTGGATCTCTGTGAGTTCCAGGACAGTCTGGTCTACAAGCTAAGTTCCAGGATAGCCAAGGCTGTTACACAGAGCAACCCTGTCTAAAAAAAAAAAAAAAAAAAAAGAGGAGCTGGAGAGATGGCTCACTGGTTAAGAGCACTGACTGCTCTTCCAGATGTCCTGAGTTCAATTCCCAGCAACCACATGGTGGATCACAACCACCTATAATGAGATCTAGCATCCTCTTCTGGCCTGCAGGGACACATGCAGGCAGAACACTGTATACATAATAAGTAAATCTTTTTTTTAAAAAAAGCTAGAAGTCATAAAGAATAGAGTTGAGAAAAATGAACTAGAAAAACAAAACCCAATAAAGCAAAAGACATTATTTGAAAATATCACCATCTTACCCATTTCCAAAGACTAAATGAATTTTCAAAAGTCCTGTGAACAACTGTATGCCAACAAATAGAACATTGAGAGGGACACAGAACCTGCCAAGACTATATCACAAAGAAACAACATCGGAATAGACCTATACATAATAAGCAGGTTGAAATCAGTATTTAAGAAGCCACCAAACATATAACAACTGTGGTCGTACATATTTTATTGGTGATTCTACCAAACAT